CAATATTATGATTTCCTGAACTATCAGGTCTTTCTGAACTGAATTCTGAGCTGTTCAACATCTACACTAGTGCAATTAAACAAAGCATAGCAGTGATACAGCGATTGTATTAGCATTGCAGAACATATTGCATGGATTTGTGCCTATGGATCACCTTGAATGTTTCCAGGACTCCTTTTATGCTTTTGTATACACCCAAATGGTGCAGGGTCTTTTATAAGATCAGATTGGATTGTAAACTGAATGACAGAAAAGGTGCACTATATAGAGTGGGTTCTTTTCCCTTCCTTAATGCAAGAAATCAGGTCTTCTTTTCTGAGAATTTTCTACTTAAACTAATTGACTTTCTTCTAGAAATGTCTTTAATACACATAGCCTTGTTCATTTTCCATTTCAATAGTAATCAGTTGCATAGGTAAAGAATATACGAGACTTGCTTGTGGCAGACAAATGTTCTTGACTGTCACACACAATTAATAGCATTGCTTGAGTTTTTCAATAAAAAAGATTTCTCCAGGGATTTTTTTTAAAATGCTCTGTCCTGACCTAAATTTGCTCCCATTAAAGTCAATAGAAGACTTATATAACATTTTAAGATACAAAAAGCCAACCTTAGAACTTCTGCCTTCCCCCGCCCCAACCCACCACCAACACCTTTAGGTAACAGTTGGGTAGTATGAGAAATTTAATAGAGGGTCATCAAAATACAATAGCTAAGATTGGGAAGAAATGTTATTTCCAGTCTACCATGTATAAGAAGTGTGTCAAAAGCAGAGCTTGGAAGTAACTAGTTACAGCTTACAGCTTACTTATAATTGATTCCTTTTTCTACTAGCCAGCGTTACATTAGGGTTGTCATTTAACAGGGGATACCTTCATACACACACTCTTGAAATTCTTTGTAGGCAACAATAACTTTTTATCTAATTATATTGTTACAATGACATGGTCTCACTAACTGATGGGCAAGTAGTATCATATGGTTCAGGTGCTGGCTTGTACAGTGTCTCATTGCTCTGCTGTAGGTTTTGAGGTAACCATGAGCTGGTTGGGTACCGTGTTTTGTACTATTGTGGTTTCTAGTAAAATTCTGGGTTTTTCAAAAGCATCAAAATTAATTAGTTTAATTACTTTGGAGAATATGGAAGTAAAAAGTTACCTCAAAACTGTTTCAACTATAATTCTGTATACTTATTAGAGCTTTGTGAATATAATGTGCTTTGAATTCATCCAAGTTATTTGTTTTACAAATAGCAACCAATTTGCTTCTAGCCAGTTTGTAGCCTTTCCACTCTAACTAGTACCCAAATATTTGAAGGAAAAAAAAAAACCAATTTGCTTCAAGCCAATTTGTAGCCTTTCCACTCTAACTTGTACCCAAATATTTGAAGGGAAAAAACACACACACACACACACACACACACATGAAATTAGGGACAATAAAGTGTTCTGACCTGTAGGTAATCACACTCAGTTCCATCAACTACTGCTCAGCCTCCAATGTTGAGACAGAATTCCCACCCACCCCTTCCTTTCCTATGGCTAGTAAGGGTAATAGTTAAAGAGTTGAATTGGAACAGGAGAGATCAGGGTCGAAATGCATTGTTATAAAGCCTACTGGATCATTTTGAGCTGGTTGTACTCTCTCAGCCTAATCTACTGTTGTGTGTAAAAATTGGGAAAAATGTAAACACCATCTTGAGAAGGTTGAAGATATGGTGGGAGATAGATATCAGAATAATTCTTGTGTACTATTCTACTTTCATTTTATTGAAAGAGGAAAACGTGAGTTCTTTTAAACCAGTAAAACACTTCAACAGATATGTGTGCATGAATGCTAAGAAATTATTCTAGGGCTGCTATTCTGTCCCATTTCCCCATGCATGTGTATTGGAATGTATGAAAACATCACACAGAAACAGTGTATGCCCAGGGATTATTTTGTAATTTTAATAAATCTATATAAGGCAAGGGAGGAAGCCTCTTTCATGGTCTTCTATAAGAAGTGAGCCATGTTGTACTTGGATTGCAGCTTATACCACTCCTCACAAATAGCTCATGTTGCCAAGGCAGTAGCATCATATTCCCTGAGAATTTGGGAGCAGGGGGAAATCTGAGACCAGTGTGTGGAGCCTTGTCATATCATAGGGCAGGGAAGATAAGGGTAAGGATGTAGAAGATTTTTTCCAATCCCCAAAGGCGGAAAATAAATGCCACAAGAAGGCTGAAGGCTGTCATTTGGAGCAATAAACATACACAGACCTTCGCGCTGATCCAGTTATCTCTGACACGACTTGAGAATGGGTGGGTGTGGGTGCCCAGGTTTCAGCACAGAACTCCCAATTTCTCTGCATAGCACACCTTAGAAAGTACTTTTAGAAAGGCTTTAAAAAAAAAACCTTTAGAAAACGAAGTAGAGAAAACAGACTCTAATGTCGATCTGATACTGTTCATTACCTCCCCCGAAAGCAATTCTTGTATAGGGTATGGGGGAGAGCTGCATTTAGCCTTGTTCTATAAAACCTTGCAGAACATTATACAACTCTTTCCTCTGGTTAACTTCATACCAAAATAAATAAAGAAGAGACAAATCCATGTAACAAAGGCTTTTAAAGATTTCTTCAGAACACAGAATAGCAAAACAGAGCCCACAAGCCAGGCTAAGCAGCCATCTAGCTCCAAACCAGAGAGAGGGATGCTCTGAGCAACACTTTTATTGCAACAATTTAAAGAGAGAGAGGAGATATCCTGCCCACCTGAACACTGGGCCTCTTTGTTCTCAGCCTGGTGCTTATTCTTAGTGCCCTAACAGCTGACAGCACCATTGATTTCTGTCTCTTCAGCATTAACAAGCCCCCAGAGTAAGTAAAATCCTCGCTTTCTTGGTTAACCTTTACACTGCTTTCCTCCCTCAGCCTTTCTTCCAAATGCTGGTCTTCTGCTGCATTCTCTGTTGACAAAAGGAAGTCAACCTCCAAGTCAAATATATTACAGAGTCTCATTATGTAAATTTGTCAAGTGTGAAAATATTTCCCCCCACAGAAAATGAAGGAATCATGAAGAAAATGGAAGAACGAACCATGCTTATTACTTTTGCCCTCGCTTGTTTTCCCATCCTTTCTCCTTAGCAATAATTAGGTATTTTGAGACAGTACAGTGTAGCCTAGCTGAAGGCGTAGCTCAGTGAGTTCGGTATCAGAGGTTAGGAGTTAAATTCTGTGCTATGCCTTTTGTGAGAAAAGCCAACCCTGGTAGCCTTGGCCAAGCTGCACAGTTCCAGGGTGACCCCAGAAAAATATTTATTTAAAATATTTTTATCCTGCCTTTCTCCCTGAAAAGGACCCAAGGTGGCTTACATCATTGAAATATCATATCTACAGCTGAAAACAATGACTATACAAAGGTGGTTTACATTAGAGATGGAAACTTCATATTCGTATCCCTGAAAATATGAAGCATGGCACCACAGGTGCTATGGAGGTCCATTCCCTCCCTCCAGGACCACCCCAGTCCACTCACTCACCAGGCTCTGCATGGCACGCACACCAGCACCAGCACCATGGTGCCAATCAAGGAAGTAGCCCCAGCAGCATTTCCCCACATCCCTGCTCTGCTGACCACTCCAGTGAGGAGGTTGATGAATCTCTCACTCAGCTGTTGAGTGGTCAGCAGTGCATGGAGGCAGGGCATCACTGCCCGGCTGCTTTTGTGATTGGCACAATGTTGCTGATGACATATGCATGTGCCATGCAGAGCCCAGTGAGTGGACAGGGGTGGTTATGAGGGGAGGGAACGGACCTCCATGGCACCTGTGGTGCCACACTTCATATTTGCATTCTCGGGGAGATGAATATGAAGTTCTCATCTCTAGTTTACATCATTAAAAGACAATATTTAAAAAGAGTAGGTCTAAAGAGGCAGCTCACATCATTAAAAGAGAATATTGAAGTTAAAAACAATAAATATACGAGTATTAAAAAGGAAAAAAAACAGATGCCACTCTGAGAAATAGAAAACCCAAAACCCAGTCAAAGCAGTAATGCATAATACTCCATCAAAAAACCAAAAAGCAAAAGCAAGGCGTGCTGCTTATATCCCGCCCCATAGTGCTTTCAGCCCTCTCTGGGGAGTTTACAAGTTAATTATGCAGGCTACACATTGCCCCCCCCCCCCAGCGAGCTGGGTACTCATTTTACCAACCTAAAGGATAGAAGGCTGAGCCAACCTTGAGCTGGCTACCTGGGATTAAACCCTGGGTCATCAGCATAGTTTTGGCTGCAGTACAGCAGTTTAACCACTGTGCCACAAGGCTCTTAACCATACTCAGGTAGCCAGTTCTGAGTACTCACTACCTAGGAATCCCTGGAAAAAAGGTTGCCAGAAGTCAGAATTGACTTGATGGCTCACAATTAATATCAAAGTATAGCCTTCATTATTATCTAGATCAGTGATTCACCTGAGTAACCCAGGTGTTCTTGGACTGCAATTACAAGAAGCCCTGGCCAGCACAGTTAGTAGTGAAGGCTTTTGGGAATTGCAGTCCAAAGAGCACCTGGGTTACTCAAGGTTAGAAATCACCAATATAGATGTGTTGGAAACCTACCATAGCAATCTGATAATCAGCTCTGGACCACAGAGAGTGGCATTTCCCTGGCTTAATATTGCCACAGGCAGCCAATAGTGGATAGAGAGTAACTATGTACATTTACGTAAGTAGTTCAGCTGACTACAGCTTGGGAGCTTTACATTTGTAATGCAAACCTGCCTGAATCCCAACCAAACATGGATATTTTGGGAGCTGTAGTCATTCAAAAGCGACTTGTTCAATCTCCTACCAGGGTAAGCATAAAGGGGTAGGAATCTCTGCCAAGTGTGTGCTTTTAATTTGCCTTCAGATTTCACAGACTTTCAGATGTTGCTGGTATTCTCTTGGAACTAATAATTATGGTGATTATGATAATCTTTTTTTTCTTTTTTCTTTCTTCCTTTCTTTTGTATAGGAAATTACGGAGAGAGTGGCATGGAAGCTTTCAAAGAGTTGGCTGCTCAGGAAGGTCTTTGCATTGCTCATTCGGACAAGATCTACAGCAACGCAGGAGAGAAGAGCTTTGAAAAGCTGTTACAGAAGCTACGGGAAAGGTTGCCAAAGGCCAGAGTTGTGGTTTGTTTCTGTGAAGGGATGACCGTCAGAGGAATACTCATGGCTATGAGACGCCTGGGAGTACTTGGAGAGCTTGTATTGATTGGGAGGTAGGTTGTTTAAGTCATGTTCGCTGTTGTATCAGAGAGAGGAGGAAGCAATATCTACCTTGGGTCAAATCCCTGTGGTTGCTTATTCTATATATAGGTTTAATAATTGACAATGACACTGGTAAGAAAAAGAAACACAGTTATTGCTATAATTATTTTTCAGTTCTCATTAAAAGCAAAGGGCTAACATTATTTATTTAGGAAATGTGTAGTCTGCCTTTCTCTTAAAACAGGATGTCTCAAAGAAAATCAACCAACATTGCCCAGTGTAGTAGAAATGAACTTGGATATAGGCCTCCCCAAACAATTCTCCTTAATTTAGGTGTTGAACGTTGTACTAAGACGTCTCTTCTGGTGAGATGAAACATTCTAATGGTCTAACTAATATGGTTTTAGTGTTGTTTAGGAACAATTCATATCATTTTGGAAGAACTGTTGTGGTGAAGAGTATTGGTTCTTCTATCAGTTCTTGTCCCACGTTTCACTATCACATACCAGATGTGCCCAGTTATTTTAGTTTTAATGCATTTTCATATTTTATGTATCACTTTGATGAAGCTTTCTCAACCGATGTTTTAGAACAGATTCTGCAAAATGGTTTATATTTTCTCCCCATATTAGTAGGTTTGATAAGGGCATTCACAGTGTCTGATATATGTTTGGATATTCCCAAAAGTTCCTGTAACGTGGCTGGCCACTCCAAAGTCACTGCCAACTCCAGGCCTCTCAGAATGCCCACCACGCTACCACACACTCTTGCTGCCACCAACCTTTCCTTTAAATAAAAAGTACAAGGGTTTCTTTCAAAAATAAAACTTGGTTTATTGATTACAAAATAAAATAGGTAAATCACTGGAAGATAATCACTATGTTAATCACTTTCTTATATAATTAAACTCATAGACTTTCCCTCACTGATAGCTCTCACACCAGATCTCTCCAGATCTCACTCACTCACTATCTGACTCTTACACTCTTCACCCCCCCTTTTTTTATACCAGCTCCACCCCTTCATTTCCACCCTCCATCACACCATTGGCTGAGGATTCACTGCCCAGCTGTGACGGACAGGTGAGGTCATGGCTGCCCGTTACAGTTCCTTTTACCTGAAGCCAGAATATGGGTTGCATTTAAAAGATTATTAAGTGGTGGTTCTTACAGTTTGAAAGACTTCAGAACTTTGTCAGAGCATCAGCACTACAGGAATGATATATGAGTCTTTCCTCCACTGTGTTTCCCTAGCCTAAATTTCCTCCTAGCTGTTAACCCAAAAGCAGAGAGAGGAGAATACTGCAAGTAGCAAAACTCATTGTTCATTTTCTCCCCTTCCCATGGGATCTGATAGCAGCTTCATGGAGTGATCGAGATCAAGAAAACAGTAGGTGAGGAGAGTATGAAACATTCTGTCTAGAAGAGCTGCTGCTCTTAACAAATTTGGAGTCCCTGCTGGCTGTTTCATGCAAAAATAAATCAAACAAATGTGAAAAAAACTAATCGCATTCTTCTGCATAATGCTTATTTTTGACTAAGGATGTAAAATTGACACACTCTTGTTCTCTCCAACAAAGATTGGCCATAATTTCCTGCTGCTCTTGAACCATCCTTGCAATTGTGAAGATAATTTTGTGTGTATGGAAAACCATCAACTTGTGCTAATTAATTATGTAGAACAAAGAGGAGAGCTCCTTAGTTTTAGGGACTTCAGTCCATTTCAAGTTTTGCATTGGGTTGTTTGTGCATTTCTTCCCATTGTCTCATCCTTTTCTAGTTGCTGTGTATTCATACTTTGCTTTTAAAGAGAAAAAGGCTCTTTGCAAAGAAATGAAATACAGAGAACTTTAAGAAGGTAAATAAAAACCTCTTATCTCACCCCTGTAAGGTGTAAGAAATCTCACTTGGCTGTTGAATTCCTTGCTGAGACATTTTACTGGATTGAGGGCTTGGCATCATTTATTTATTTTATTTTTATGCATTTGTTCCATTTTTATCCCACCCATCTAGATTCGGGAATCTACTCTGGGCAGCTTACAGAATATAAAGATAAAAACAGCATTCAAATAACTTTGTTCATAAAAGCAATAAAGATCAATAAAGAAAACAGGATCCAAGATGGGATAAGGAAGCTGTGTAATGGAAGGGAGGAAAGCATGCTGGAAGAACCAAGTCTTCAACTTGTTTTTAAAAATTCCCAGCAAGGGTGTCAGTTGGATCTTCAGGTATAAGGTGTTCCAAAGATGAGGACCACCACCGAAAAGGCCCAGTTTCTTGTTCTCTCCTTTCAGGCCACTCTCGGGGTTAAGCCCCTCAGCTGCCCAGTCTGGCTTGATTGAGTGATGCAAGTAGAGCTAGGTGAGGACAGGTGCTCTGCCAGGTATTGAGGCCCTAAACCATTTAGGGCTTTATATGTAAGCATTTAGTACCTTGAAATCAATGAAGAAACAAATGGGTAACCAGTGTAAGGCCGCCAGAGTGGGGGAAATACGTTGGTATCTTTTCACCCCAATTAATAGTCTGGTGGCCATGTTCTGGACAATTTGTAGTCTCAGCTGCCCAGTCTGGCTTGATTGAGTTATGCAAGTAGAGCTAGGTGAGGACAGGCGCTCTGCCAGGTATTGAGGCCCTAAGCCATTTAGGGCTTTATATGTAAGCATTTAGTACCTTGAAATCAATGAAGAAACAAATGGGTAACCAGTGTAAGGCCGCCAGAGTGGAGGAAATACGTTGGTATCTTTTCACCCAATTAATAGTTTGCTGGCCATGTTCTGGACAATTTGTAGTTTCCACATCAGTCTCAAGGGCAGCCCCACATAGAGAGCATTGCAGTAGTCTAATCTCAAGACTATGAGTGCATGGATCAGAGTGGTGAACACCCCACATCAAGATAGGAGTGCAGCTGGGCAATCCACCAAATATGTAAGTGGGCGGAATGGACCACAGACGCCACCTGGGATTCCATGGTAAGTGCTAGGTCAAGATGGACCCCCAAGCTGTGGACCACACTCTTCATGGTAAGGGTTGCCCCCCCAAAAAAGAGCAAGCTTCCCAAACCACAGATAGAAGGGGCACCCATTCTCAGGACCTCTGTCTTGTAAGTCTAATCTCAAGACTATGAGTGCATGGATCAGAGTGGTGAACACCCCACATCAAGATAGGAGTGTAGCTGGGCAATCCACCAAATATGTAAGTGGGCGGAACGGACCACAGACGCCACCTGGGATTCCATGGTAAGTGCTGGGTGAAGATGGACCTCCAAGCTGTGGACCACAATCTTCATGGTAAGAGTTACCTCCCCAAAAAAGAGCAAGCTTCCCAAACCACAGATAGAAGGGGCACCCATTCTCAGGACCTCTGTCTTGTACAGGTTCAACCTCAGTCCATTCTCCTGCATTCATTGCTGCACAGCCCCCAGGCAGCGCTCAAGGGATGCAAGGGCATCCACTGCTGTTGGAAAAAAGGAGATGTAGAGCTGCGTGTCATCAGCATACTGGTGACATGAAGCGCCATACCTCCTGATGACTCCACTCAGCGGCCTCATATAGATACAGTGGTGCCTCAATTTACAAACTTAATCCGTTCCAGAATGATGTTCCTCAATTGGAACGTTTGTAAGTCGAATCAGCATTTTCCATAGGAATGCATTGAAAACCAATTAATCCATTCTGGCTGTTTTTTGTTCTTATGTAGAGGCGCCGTTTGTAAGTCGAAGCATTTGTTCCCATAGGAACTAAAGCAAAAGTGGTTAATCTGTCCTTTACCACTAGGGGGAGATTTTTTAAAAAAACTTAAGATGACCTAAGGTTAAAAAAAGAGAGGAAAGGAGGGAGGGTGGGAACGAACACCTTTAAAAAAAAACCTTTAAAATAAAGCAGCTTTAAACCAAACCAAGCACCTTTTAAACCAATTTTTACATTTTAAAATTACAATACCAGGCAGTCCAAAGTCTGTTTCCCACTTTTTCTGCATTTTTTGGTTCGTAAGTCGAAGCTCCGTTTACAAGTTGAAGCAAACTTTTGTGAACACAGCTGTTTGTAAGCCGAATTGTTCGTATGTAGGGGCGTTTGTAAATTGTTGGTATGTAGGGGCATTTGTAAGTCAAGGCACCACTGTATTAAACAGCATTGGAGAGATGATCGATCCCTCCAGCACCCCACAATTGAGGAGCCACGGGACAGATACATTCTCTCCAAGCTGGACTCTCTGAGAATGGTCCTCCAAGAAGAATTGGATCCAAGCAAGAGCTAGTCCACTGATTCCCAACTCAGAGTGCCTCCCCAGGAAGATACCGTGGTCAACGGTATCAAAGGCGGCTGAGATGTCGAGGAGACATTTTGCCCCTGTCAGCCTCCCTCAATAGGTCATACAGCAGGGCAAACAATGCTGTTTCAGTACTGTGGTGCAGCCTCAACTGGAATGGATCCAGGGCATTAGTTTCATCCAAAAGTGCCTGAACCTCATCAGCCACCACCCTCTCTACTACCTTGCTAAGGAAAGAAACATTGGCGATGGGCCTATAATTGCCAATGTTGTCCCGCCAAGCTCAGTTTCTTCCTAATGGGCCTAATGAGCATCTCCTTGAGGGCAAGGGGAACCTTGCCCCCCTGGAGAGACCCATTAATTATTGCAGTGGCCCATTCAGTTGTCACAGGCGTGGCTGCTTTGATTATCCAGGCTGGGCAAGGGTCAAGGAAGGAGGTGGTGGCAGAACAGTGTTCAAGCACTTAAGTAATTCTCATCAGACAGAGGATGCACTGGATGTCTCAGCTCAATCTACTGTTTTCCAATAGGGGGTTAGGTCCCGGTGGATGGCCTCCACTTTAGATTTAAAGAATGCTGCAAACCATTAACCCTTAAACAATTAACCCTTAATGCACTTAGGTTTTCTCTACCCTTGATTCTAAAGTCCTAGTCTCTTTTTTTCCCTTCTTCCTTATCAAACCTTTTGATTTTCTCAATCAAACTGTAGCACAATCACCTTCAATAAATGTTGACATTGTTTTCTG